TATTGTAACTTAAGCCCTCCAAAGGTTTAGGGCAAATCTAGGTCCTTAATGAACCTAAAGTAACGGATATAGGCGATAAAATCATTATAAACGGTTTATGGAAAAATCCCTGAAACGGGTCTAAAGATTTAAATTTTTTGCAATTGTTTGGTGTAGATTTTAAATTTCTTCCGCCATTTTTAAGCGAGTTATGACGTCATCGGTATTTTTTTCAAATGGCAATCCCCCATTTTTATTACGGAATATGAAAGAAGATTTTTTTCTGAATCTAATACAGTCAATATTAATATTGCTTACATAAGAAAATTTTCGAGAGAAATTACTTTAAAGTTTAATTACTTCAGATTAGTTGACATGATGAAAATAGCAGTAGCCATGAGTAACTATGGTAACCAATTAGTTTAAACAATTTCCTAAGTGTCAAAAACTGATTTAGTAAGTAGTTGACCTCTTTAATAAAACATATTCTGATCACCAACTCATTAGCCAAAGTATGGTGAGCCTAGCTGTGACTAAATTTATACAGCATGGCCATCTCTCGAAACATTTCTGGAAGTCTGGCGTACTAAATGTTGCAAGGGAAGTTCAACCAATCGTGGTTTTGGCTGGGGAAGAAAGCCCTCATGTTACTGTAAGGAGTATTGGGTCTAATTTGGACATTAGTAAATCAACGGTTTATAAAATTTTAAAACCCGCAAAATATCATTCCCATAAAGTAAACCTGATTCACGAGCAATGAATCGTAGTTTTTGCAACGATGACGAAGACTTTGTCAAAAACATAATTTTTTCGAGGAAGGGACATTTACGTCGTTTGTAATGACTTAGAAATAAATAGTTAAAGGAGGGAATGGTGTAATGATTTTATAATAAAATAATAAAAATTTCTTTTTATTTTTAGATAACATTTTAATAAAACAGCATTTAGAGAAACCATGGAAACAATTATGTTCAATGACATATTTTTTAAATCATCCTTATGTTAAGATTAGTGTTGATTTACCTAAAGTTCGATTTTCACGATCTAACGTCCATGTTTATAAACGTTATATAACAGATGGTGGGGACACAACTACTTGCCCCCCAACCGACTTTATTAGTGAAGTTGTGAACACCTTTCCAAATTCCACACCTAAAGTTTATTCATATGACTTTATATCCGCTTATTTTAAACAATTAACATCCATATTGACGAAATATGACGTTAAGAATCATCTTTTAATTCGAAGCATCTTTGGCGAGTATTTACAAGATATTAAAGATTGCAATATGCATGGGGGTACCATGGCAGCACCATTTATGGTAACTTATAACATTGGTGGAAAAGTTTATGTTCGTAACAAAAAAATGGTTGTTAGTACTAGTAAAAAGTAAAACAAAATTTAATTAAAACCAATTAAATAGTAAAAACTATTTTGTTTTAGCAAAGATGCAAATGCAATAAATTTTTGCGAAATCCTAACTCCTAAAGTGACATTTGCACTCCAAGAATTTAATGTTGTTGAAGATACAAATGCAAAAGAAATTTCTTTCATTGACTTAAACAAAATAGAGTCAATGTCTAAAGAGGAACATTTAACACTAATAAATGCTTTTAATAATTGCGTAACGTTTCATTGTACGTTGTGCAATAAAGTCTATCAAGGAGAACGTTGCTATTCTGATTGTTTGGACCATTTTCGATTTTTACACAAAGGCGAGCAAGCGGTTGTATGTTTTAAATGTCGGAGGACGTTTGAAGTAATTAATTTGGCGTCTACTCGATGGGCTCATAATTGCCAAGTCACTCAAATGTTATTTAAAATGGAAGATGGTAAAGGAGGAGGGGAAGGCAGTGAAAATGTATCTATGGGTCAAGGGGGAGTTGATGGTGATAAATCTAAGAGTTTAAATGATAAAGTTTGAAGTTAAGTATTAATTTATATTTGTAAAAATATTTACTAGTTACTAATCATTTATTTTATTAGTATCGAATTAAGATTAAGTGCTAAAGATAAGTATTTTTTTTTACCATTACAATAAAATATAAATATTATAAAATTAGTTTTAATTATTTAACCCGTTTTTGTCCAGTGTTCCAATATTGGAACAGCGACAGTTTTACCCCACCACTTCCGCATTTTCGTGGTTTTTTGCATTCTGCAAGCCTCATCTTGTCTGTCATAGTCTCATACGTTATTGGGAAGTGCACTATATTGTTAGAATTCACTCGTTTGCAAATCTCACAGTGTACTATGCTGGTCTATGAAGATCTTGCCAAATTTTATGCGTTTATTATGGTAATTAACCGTTATTTTCGAATGTTCCGATTTTGGAACAATGGGAGTGATTTTCTAGGTACTATTCTACCAAAGAGCTTATTGATTTGGTGGAAAGTGATGAATTTTGGGAAGCAGACATTTATATTATTCCACCTTATGATGGAAGAGACTTTGAAGAAGATAGTGATGATGAAGAACTTCCTTCAGATATAAATCATTTGACTGAATGACAGTTACAAACGTCTGCGACTGCAAAATTTAGACAATTCGATAAAACTGCTCACATCGGAGACGCCGAAGACAGAAAATTCTAGTGAAGAGAAATTGGGCGAAATGTGATTTGACTCCAACTTTGCCGCTATTTGTTTCACCAAGCCAATCTCGTACATACAACTTTACCGATGCTGTTTTTTGTTTTGAAAGTTTTTTTGATGCACTTTCTTGAACGATATGTTTATACTTTATGCTCAGCAAAAAAAAAACAATGTTGTAAAAGTTTTTTTGTAATTCGCGACGGTAATGAAAGCTATTACAGTACTCAAACGGGTGCTGTAATGACACTCTTTACAGCATCCGATGCTGTAATGAGATTTTAGTAACATTTTATGGAATCAGTTCAAGTTGGTGACATTGGGTCATTAATTTTTCTAGTTGTCAATGTGACAATTTTTGTCTATGGATGTTTAAACACGTTCTTAGCATCGAATACAAGGTCCACAATGATGAGGACATTGACTCTGAGCAATTTCTCTTATTTTGGGAGGTGTACATCAAACATTTTTTTCAGGTGAATATATTTTGTGTTTTGACAGTTTCTAATTGTCAATTCAAAGTTTCTATTTTCAAGTGTTCCGGTGTTACCAACTGCTACATACCTATTTCCCTACATTGCCAAAATTTACTTTATTTTTGTTAAAAAAAAGTATAAAAACGCGAATTACAAAAAATAGCATAAAAAACACGTTTCATAAGACTTAAAGCACTCATTCATTAAAAAACTCGTGGCTTCGCCACTCGTTTTTCAACTTGAATTCGTGCATTTCAAACGTGTCTTACGAAACTTGTTTTTTAATATACTATTCTGTATCATGCTCCGGATGCCGATTTGCTTTCACACTCTTCTAATTTTCATATTTTTGAAAAATTCTCTACATTGATGCATCTAGGAGCAAAAATGTTACAGGGCATTGTGTTAGGGATACAATTTGCTACAACTTTTGTTGTAAAAGTTTTTCTGTATCATGCTACGGATAACGTTTTTTTTTTAACGCAGTTCTAAATTACATACTTTTTGACAAATTCTCTACATTGATGCATTTGGGAGCAAAAATGTTACAGGGCATTGTGTTAGGGGTACAATTTGCTACAACTTTTGTTGTAAAAGTTTTTCTGTATCATGCTACGGATACCGATTTTTTTTTAATACTCTTCTAATTTTCGTATTCTTGAAAAATTCTCTACATTGATGCATCTGGGAGCAAAAATGTTACAGGGCATTGTGTTAAGGGAACAAAGGTTGTTGATCCTTGTATTTCTGATCATAAGGCAGTTTCTTTTGAGTGTAAAATCATACACCTATCGTCTAAACAACAAGCTAGGCGTACTTATAGACCTATTACTGAACATGGATTGCTATATTTCTATAGGTGTGTGAAAAAAATCAATTTTTCCTTTGTTGAAGATACAAACGTAGACATAAACCAAAGAAATTGTATACAGGGTGTCAGATAAAAAACGGCCCAAGCTGTAACTCTGTCATTTACATTCCGATTTTCATGAGCGAGGTATCAAATGAAATGGTTTGATGAATACTACGATTCATACTACAAATAAATTTTTTCCAACGCCATCTTCAAATTCAAGTGATTATTAACTTTTGTTTTTCAAATTGCTGCGTATATTTTTCTTCGCGTCATTGGATAGAGTTTGTTTTTCTGACTCCATTGATGTACAATACATACATTTTAAATGTAATATTAGCAGAGAAAAAACACCTGTATATGCAGGTTGTCATACAAGAATGCCGCAAGCTGTAACTCTGTCATTTACATTCCGATTTTCATGAGCGAGGTATCACACGAAATGCCTTCTTTGATCCATCAGTGTAGATGGTCAACGTTTTGCCCGAGCTTGAATTGCTCTGGGGTATCGTTTCAATGCCAAAATGTGGCTTGCCTAAGAAAGTAGGTGTAATGTAGTCTGTGCAAGCTTTAAGGAGGGGTTGTTTTTCGAACAGCCTCACTCCAGAACTTACTCCGGACTATTCCCATTTTTACAACCTCGTTATCATTTACTGATCGCAATCGAAGCAACGCCATCACGGCCACCTCCCTGATAAAAATACACTGTTGGAAATAATTCATGCGCACATGCTGTATAATCTGAACGCGTGTGTATAGCGCAATAAAATTTGGTATGGAAGTAGCACTAAAGTAGTGTAACTTACTCTCACATGGAGAGCGTCACAACCCCGCCGTATATCCTCGAGTATCTACCGTGAGCTTCGCGTACCATAGCTACACCACATGGCATGGAGTCTATAAGTCGCTGTATTATAGCGAGAGTGATGGCCAACAATGCCACCTCAACTCGTCTCCATAGCTCCTCAACGTTAGCCGGGGAAGCTAGATAACGTTGAAGTCTCCGACCAGTCATGTCCCAAACATGTTCGATCGGATTCAGATCCAGAAAACGAGCTGGCCATGGAGGCATTCGTATACGGTGCTCTTCCACAAAGGTCTACACAACACGCCCGATGTGCGGTCGGACGTTGTCGTGCATGTATAGCAGACCTGGGCGCTGCCGAACGTAGAGAAGCACAACGGACCGTAGCACCTCATCTACGTATCGTTGACCCGTCATGGTCTGCTATACACGCAGCAGACGTGTACGTCCACCATGTGTAATCACACCCCATACCATAATGCTCGGTTGTCGGTGGATAGGGCGTTCTTGCACACACTGCTCGAGTAGACGATCATCACGGCTCCGCGAACCAAAATTCGCGCATCACCGGTGCTCAATTCGAATCTTGATTCGTCGGAAAACAAAATGTCCCTCTACTCGGCAACCTACTAATGCCTAGCGTCGACCCACTCGTGACGTATGCTGCGGTGCTCGGGTGTTACTGGAATCCGCTGTATCGCACGATGATTGGCG